CCACCGCCATGGGGCAACGGAGCCCGCGCCGCGAGGCGGCCGGACTGCTCCCCGGAGGCGCGCGCCGTGAGGGCTGCCACCAACCTGGCAAGGGAGCGAGCTGTGCACAGCGCGAGGCGTGCCAGTGGCGCGCGCGCGCGGCCGCCTCTCCCGCGAGCGCGACCGACTCGACCTCCCCGTCCGTCGGGCCCTGGGCTCCCCCACGCCGGGCGCTGCTCGGCATAGCGTCGCCATGTGGCCACCCCGAGCGCAAACGGCCTTGGGCACCTCGGTGAGGCGGAGCCAGAATGTCAACGGAGGGGGGCAGGGGGAGGAGACGAGAAGGGAGGGGGGAGGAGGAGGGAGGGGGGAGTAGGCAGGGGAAGAGGCAGGAGGTGAAGAGCGGGCCGAGCTCTCCCCGACTCGCCTGGCCACTCCTGCTGAAGAGCCTCCAAGAGCGCAGCGTGCACACCAGGACCGCGGAACGGATCCGTGGAGCGATCGGCAGCGATCTGGCGGGGGCCCCATGCCCGCCCCTCCTCGTCCATGTCCTCCTCCTGCTCGGTAACCCTCCTCCTGGAGCTCGTGCAGCTGCTGCTGCCCCCTCGTCCTCATCCTCATCCTCATCAGCACCATCACCATCACCACCATCACCATCACAATCACCATCAGCATCACCAGCACCAGCACCAGCACCAGCACCAGCACCAGCACCAGCACCAGCACCAGCACCAGCACCAGCACCAGCACCAGCACCATCTTCTTCATCATCATCATCATCATCATCATCATCATCATCATCATCATCATCATCATCATCATCATCATCATCATCATCATCATCATCATAATGATCATCAGCATCATCATCATCAGCATCATCAGCACCATCAGCATCAGCATCATCAGCATCATCAGCATCATCAGCATCATCAGCATCATCAGCACCATCACCATCATCAGCAGCATCATCATCATAAGCAGCAGCAGCATCATCACCATCACTGTCACCATCATCATCACCACCACCACACCTACCACGATCACCATCATTATCATCATTATCATCATTATCATCATCATCATCATCATCATCATCATCAGCATCAGCATCATCATCATCATCACCATCGTCATCATTATCACCACCAAACGACAAGGCCGTTTCTTTACCGCTTCCGTTTTTTCGTTTCTTTGCCGTTTCTGGCGCCGTTTCTTTGCCGTTTCCGTCGCCGTTTCTTCGTCGTTTCCGTCGCGATTTCCGGCTGGTAGCCGACGCCGCGTCTTTGCCGTTTCTGGCTGCCTTTTTTTTCCGTTTCCACTTTCGTCAAGGAATCCGTACCGTTGAAACTACACAGCCGGTTGCCGTTTCTTTGCCGCTTCTGCTCTCCGTTTCATCAACAACGCATCATAAACAACGCATCATCATCGTCAGCAGCAGCATCAGCATCAGCATCACCATCAACACCACCACCATTATCATCACCATCAGCATCACCATCGTCGTCGTCGTCGTCTGCAGCATCATCAGCATCATAATCATCACCATCACCACCACCACCATCATCATCATCATCATCATCATCATCACCACCATTATAAGCACCATCTCCCTCCTCTCCCTATCCTCCTCCTCCTCCCTTCAACTCTTTCTCCTCATCCTACTCCTCCTCCTCCTCCTCCTCCTCCTCCTCTCCCTTTTCTATCTTCCTTCTCTGTCCTCTACCTCCTCGTTATCCCCCTATGCTTCCTCCCCCGCTCTCGCATTCTCTCTCTCTCTCTCTCTCTCTTTCCATCGCTCTCTCTCTCTCTCTCTCTCTCTATATATATATGTGTGTATATATATAAATATATAAATAAATCCCATGCATTTGACTCGGGACGGGGGTCTCTGGCCTGATCGTTGCGGAACCTCAGCTCCAACGCCTGCACGAACATGTCGACCGCCTGGGCTCCGGAAGACGGCTCAACATGCAGCGTGCGACATCTCAGGATGATGGGGAGCGGACCAGTCGTTGGAGGTGAGCAGAGGGGAGCTGGGTAGCCAAAGTAGCCAGACACCCGACAGATGATCGTAAGAAGCGGGCCAGTCGAGAGCTTCTTGACATCATGGTGGCTGTCGGTGCGGCTCACCGAGCGGTTCTCGGTGGTGGCTCAGGCACCTGCGGGCGAGGCGCTGCCCATGTAGGGGCTCGAGCGTGAACACATAGAGCGAAGGCGATGCGAGTCCGACCGCGCACGGTGTTCTCCATTGCTCGGTCTCACCTTTCGGTTTTCACCGAATGGAGCGACTGGCCGTGCCTCTTTGCTTCGCGTGTCGCCAAACCTCGGGCAGCAGCGTCCGGCTGTATCCCGTCACCTTCCAGCCAACACGTCCATCGGGGCTGAACCTAAACGGTGTTTTTCGTGTTCGTTTTCGTTTTCGTTTTCCCTCGTTTTGTCCTCAATCCACCTCTACCGCAAAACGGAATTGAAACGACAACGGCCCACGAGATCGCCAAAGCACCGTTTAGGTCCAGCC